TTTTTATTAATTTTTATAACAAAATGCCATCCCAAAAGTCAGAGGCGGCATTTATTATTAAAAAAATTTAATTTTTATAATAAAATGCTGCCCAAAAGTCAGACACAGCATTTATTATTAAAAAAATTTAATTTTTATAATAAAATGCCGCCCAAAAGTCAGACATGGCATTTATTATTAAAAATTTAATTTTTATTAATTTTTAATAACAAAATGCCATCCCAAAAATCAGACGCAGCATTTATTATTAAAAAAATTAATGTTTAATAATAAATGTCACCCCAAAAGTCAAATGCAGCATTTATTAATAGAAAAATTAATTTTTATAACAAAATGCCGTCCCAAAAGTCAGAAATGGCATTTATTATTAAAAAATTAAATTTTAATAATAAAATGTCACCCCAAAAGTCAAACGCAGCATTTATTATTTAAAATTAATTTTTATTAATTTTTATATAAAAATGCCGTCCCAAAAGTTAGACACAGCATTTATTATTAAAAAATCAATTTTTATTAATTTTTTATATAAAAATGCCACCCTGAAAGTCGGACATGGCATTTATTATTAAAAAAATTAATTTTTAATAATAAAATGCTGATCTGAATGTCAGAGGCAGATTTGTTAAAAAAAAATTGTTTTTTTTTAACATTAAATGCTGTTCTGAATGTCAAAGGTGAGATTTGTTAAAAAAATAACAAATTTGTTGTTTTTTTAACATTAAAATGCCGTTCTGAATGGCGGAGGTGGATTTTTGTTAAAAAAAACAACAAAATTGTTATTTTTTAACATTAAAACGCCGTTCCGAATAGTGGAAACAGATTTTTGTTAAAAAAATTTTTTGATCTGTCAGATACAGATACAGATTCAGATTTTGATTTGTCAGATTCAGATCAAATAAGATTTGGATTTTTCAGATTCAAATCAAATTGAATTTTGTCTAAATCTGATCTGATCTGATCCGTGCAGAACACTACTTTAAAATGATATTTAATCATTCTATTAGAACGATTCTTTCTATCATTCCTTTTAAAGATGAGAGACGAAACTCAAAAAAGGCAATTAATAAACAGCTGAAACTATATTAAAACATAGTGAGAAGTATGATGAAACTCCAAAACCTGAAATTAGCTGAAATTATATTAAAAACATAGTAAGGGATATGATGAAATTATTTTGAAGGAGTTTCGGTTCCTTTAGAACAATGTTTAATCATTCTATTGGAATAATTCTTTCTATTGTTCCTTTAGAACGATTATTTTATCATTCCTTTAGAATAATATTTAATCATTTTATTAGAATGATTCTTTCTATTCTTTCTATTATTCCTTTAGAATTATGCATTATCATTCTATCAGAATGATTTTATTATTATTCCTTTAGAATAATGATTAACCTTTCTATTGGAATGATTTTTCTATTATTCCTTTAGAATAATGTTTTATCATTCTATTGGAATGATTCTTTCTATTATTTCTTTAGAATGATGTTTTATCATTCTATCAAAACAATTTTATTTATCATTCCTTTAGAATGACGTTTAATCATTTTATTAGAACAATTCTTCTATCATTTCTTTAGAATAATGCATTATCATTCTATCTGAATAATTTTATTTATTGTTCCTTTAGAACAATTCTTTTCATCATTCTATCAGAATGATTCTCTTATTTTTCCTTTAGAATAATGATTTATCATTCAATTAGAATAAATAGCTTGAGTCGAGTTGAGTTATTGTTTAAAATTTTTTTGTCTCAATTTGACTCGACTTGATTTTTTCGAGTTGAGTTGAGCTTAATAAAAACTTGCTTAACCCAATTCATTCAGAACTCTAATAAAGACTATCACAAATTTTAATTATAAGTTTTATATTATGAATTTTATCACAAAAAGACCTTTAGCCTATTATAAACTCCTATATAACCATATTAAAAATATATATATTTAAAGCTATAGTAATTTTTTTCTTTGAAAAATCTCTAGAACTATATAAGGTATTACTTCATATATTTTATTATCATCATTATCAGTTAAATCAATTAAGGATTTATTTAATCCTAAATTACATATTGCAGGTACAATATTCATAAGAATGTTTTTACTATGGATATCTTGATAAATGATTTCTGTATTATGAATATATTTAATTCCTCCTATAATATATATTAACTTATTTAATTTAATGTTCCAATTAATATTATTAAATTCATTTATAATATAATGCTTCAAATCATATTCATAAAAATTTGTAAATATTATAAAATCTTTTGTAATAGGATTTTGTATAATGTTATAATAATTATATAAATTAAGATTTGAAATGTCTTGCTTTTTAAATTTTATATAACAATTATAATAAAGTTTAAGTTAAATTTTTATTGAAGTATATTAATGCATTTTTTTAAAATATATTATATAAAAATTTATTACAATACTTACCTTATTTAGTTCCTTAGAAGTAATATTTCTAGAATTATTAAAGTTTTAAGAACAACTTATGTAAATTCATTTAGTATAAATTTCTTATTTTCCTTATCCTATTTTTTAATATATCCATTAAGCCAATTAGTTTTATATACTTTACTAAATTCACCATTAGCAATAAATTTTATATCTTTAAATTCTTTATAAAAAACAAACTCTATTACTCTAACTTTTATATTACTATTGATCATAATACTTATAGTATAAATACAAAACATTTATAATTTCATTTTATATTTATACATATATTCATTCCAAATAAAATTATTATCAAAAATTATTATAAAATCCTTTGTAATAGGATTTTGAGAAATTTCATAATATTTAGTTTTATACCAATTTGTAGTTTTCTAATTAAATAATATATATTAATGAAATCTCTTATTTCTTATATTATTATTATAATTAAATTATAATAAACTCACTTTATTTAACTTATATAAATTAATATTTTCAGTATTATTAATTTTTTTAAGAAATACTTGTATAGTATCATTTCATTTAAAATTAAATATATTATCATTCCAATATTAAATATTATCATCAATTCAAGTTGCCTTGTAAATTTTACTAAATTCATTATTATTATAAAATTCTATATTTTTGAATTAATTATAGGAAATAAACTTACTATTTTGTCTGTTTTTAATAAATTCATCTACAACTTTATATTGCTATATAATATATAATTTTTCCAATTAAATTGTTTTGAAATTAATATAAAATCCTTTGTAATAGGATCTTGAGTCATTTCATAAAACTTGATTTCATATGAATAATCAAAATTTTCTTAATTAAATAATATATATTAATAAAAATTCTTATTCTTATATTATAATTAAATTATAACAAATTTACCTCATTTAACTTATATGAATTAATATTTTCAGAATTATTAATTTTTTTAAGATATACTTGTATAGTACCACTTCGTTTAAAATTTAGTTTATTGTTATCCTACTGAAAATAACCATCAATCCAAGTTGCCTTATAAATTTTACTATTTTCGTTTTCAACACAAAATTTATATCTTTGAATTGATCATAGGGAACAAGCTCCATTTTTAGGTACCAACTAATTTGCGAGAATTTGATAAAATCGTTCACAAATTCGTTTTCACTTAGTTTATATAACGTATTCAATTTATGACAAATTTGGCAAACCTCTTGACCACCTATATCTATTGATATATTACATTGATTACATTTCTCTTAATATTGTAGTAGAGGGAATTCCATGATTTAGCTTGCTTTTTTTTGTGTTTGGTCGATTTTATTTAAATTATGAAAAAGGACATGAAAAATGCCCAGGTGCATATGACTGTAAGACAGAGATCACAATATGAGTGATCGGCTATTAAAATCACCTTATTGAACATTAAAAAAGAATTCTATCATGCATATTATTTCGCAATAAAAATTATTGATATATTTCATCACCTCTATTTAGAAGGAATTTTGGAAGAATATGAAAATGATGTTTTTCAATAATTTCATAAAATTATCACAATGATTGTGAAAGCTAAAGTCTCATGTCTTACTTTGCTATTGATTTATCAACAATCCTATTGAATCGAATAACCCATTTATTAGTGGCCAGCTATAATAAAAAATATGGATGCATAGCATAAACGGAAGGCACAGGTTAAGTTTTTGATTTTACAATCTTTTTTTTCTGTGACCCAAGCCATTCGTTGTTCAATTAATGACGCATAGTCCACCACCTATAAAATATATGCTGTATATGCATTTCTTCAAGGCAGAGATTATATTATATATGCAATCTCTCAATTCAAATTTCTCCCCTCTTTTATTATTGTCAATCCGATAAATCGATTCACTCAAATATGTTAGGAAACTCTAATTGAATTAATATATAGTTAGCTAATGGACTGAATATGATAAGTATAAAGGTTTAATATTCATATTGACACAATTATGGCATGGCATTCATCAAATTGATCCAACATGTCAACTACCAAAATTTGTAGTGAATCTGACATAAAATTCATTCCCATTGTGTAAATTATTCAAAGCATTCCTTGCTGACATCTATACTTAAACTATCATTTGAAATCAATTCTATCTTAACCAAAAAAAGAAATATTACATATTCTTGTTAAATCTAATGCTTGAAATTTACAAAATAATTTCATTATTTGTATTGAAAAAGAGAATTATTTAACTAAAATAATTACCAAAAATAAATCCAAACCTGTAAGTTTCTAAACCTGTTTGTCACTACATACAGTAAATTATTAATGCAAAATTCTTTAGGTAAATCGAATCTGATGTTTCGAAGAATAGTTTCTACGCTAGACGATTTTCGAAACCTACCTAAATAATTTATCTATTACAAGATTTTTTATGCTAAAAATAACATTATTAAATATCAGAAGTTATACAGTATATTATATTTTGACCTAAGGAAAAGTCTTATAAACACGAGTAGTTTTGCATAAATCAGAGAAGTAATGCTAATCTTGAAAATAGGCAATCTTTAATATTGAATTATTTCAAGTGATATTTGAATAGCTATTGATTAAAATTGCGAATTGTTAGACACATTTCATCGATAGGATTTAAATAGAATTTGTTATAAATAAGATAACTAAAACTTAATTCAGTCTGTCGAGTCAAATGTCCATTTATCATAAACATAAAGTTATTCAAGTATGTATGAATAGGAAAATATACTCTATATTTTTTCTGACATCTATCGAGATCGAAGTGATAGGTAGCTGAATCATAAATCATCACCATTAAAAACATAATTATAAACCAACGAGCAGTAAAGAAAAAGAAGCTTTTTATAAAGTTGCAATTTGTTTATCAATAAATTTTATAAGTAGGTTTTTTTGTTATACATAATTGCTGAATAAAAGCTTTATAATTGTAATCAGGAACTATATATTCTACTTAAAGGTTAAAATGAAATTATTTCGATAAAAATAAAATTCAATTTGTTTGAAGATAAAAAATTACAAATCCTTATTAATTTAGGATTTGGAATCGATTCTATCAAAATCGAATCTTATAATCATATCTTGAGATTCAATTAATTGCGATTAATCATTTTTTAATCGATTCTACTTTTTAGAATCGATTTCTATCCCTATCTCAATCAAAAAATACATATATTATCGAGCAAATAATTAAAATTGATATCAATTTACATTCAAAAAGAAAATTAGATGTCAAACTCAAGTTCTTTAGAAACATAATCTATTTATAAATTATAAACAAAAAGTATACTTTTGTTATTTAATATATAAATCATAAAATAACTGAAAAAGTATATTTACCATTGGATTTAACTTTCTTTTTAATTAGACCATCACGAATCAGATTAACATCTAATCTACTTTTACTTTTATAAATATAATTATTAATAATAGTGAGTTAATAGTTCTTTTCAATATACACATATATATATCTCAAAACAAATTTACCAAAATCTAAAGTTATGCTTTTTAAATTTCTTGTAGACTTGGCAAATCTTATCATTACGCTTAGAGATCTACTTTTATAGATGGCATTGGGATTATTTTCTATAGGCCCAATATCTGGTGAATTAACAGATATAGTTAGACTTCCATTATTAGCTTTTGTATATTCTGAGCCTTTAATACTTTGAAAAATTGATTGGATATCTGCAGCAGTTGGTTTTCTTTTTGGATTAGAATGCCAACAATCTTGCATTAGTTCAATGTAACCTTCAGGTGCATTTTTAACGATCAGAGGGCGAAGACCATCACAAATGTCAATAATAAGATTTACATCATGAACTCGATTCCAAAAAGGCCTTCTTCCTGTCATAAATTTCCACATAATCATACCAAAGCCATACACATCTGAAGCCTTAGTATAATTTTGCCCTTGAAAAACCTTCGGTGTAACATAAAGAATAATCCCATAAATCTCATCATCGTCTGCATCTGATATTGCAGTTGATGATTTACTTAATCCTAAATCACCTGTTACACTCATGTAATTATTATAAAAATGTTTCCACTGTGATAATTGCGGTGAATAATATCCAAATCATACAATACTTTAAGGCTGTTTATACTTCCTAGCAATTTATCTAACTTTTCCCTCCAAGAAAGTTTAAAAAAATGCTTAGTTATATAATGCGTCATATCCAATGCATAATATGGCATAATTATCATAAAATCTTGTGTAATAAGATCTTAAGTAATTCCATAATATTCATTAATAAACGAACTGAGAAAAGCTGTTTTCTGTTTTAAAGACATCTCATAATACAATTTAAGCTAAAATAAAAAATTTATAAAATTATTTATCTTACGTTTATAACTATAATAAAAATTAAAATTAAATACATATCTCATTTAACTCTTTAGAACTGATGTTTTTAGAATTGTTAAGTTTCTTGAGAGCAACAGTCCTATGATTAATCATAGTTACTTTATAAATTTTGCTAAATCCTCCTTCGGCAATAAATTCCAAGTCTTTGAATCTATCATATGGAATAAATTCCATTCTTCCAACATCTTTAATATAATTAATATGTGTATATCTCACAAAATTATCAATAACTTATTACCACTTAATATGAGTATTGTTTTTGCTTTATAGCAAATACAACAAATCTGATGAATTTTATCAGAAGGTTTTCTTATTTGTTTGCACTCATTGCATTTCTTATACTTTAATTAGTGGTCAGAACCGGTGATCTGCAATTCAGTAATCTGCCAGATATATTCGCTTAACCGGATTAACAAATCTGTCTAACGGATAAATTATAGTTGCTTGACGAAACCTCAGAGTATTGACAACTGTCGAATGTCAAAACCTATTTAGACGTTTTGACTTTTTAT